TCAGAGAGAAACAAGCAGGAAAGTTCCTGAAGACAAAGTTCAAGTAGGAAACAAAACAAACTTGCAGTTTATTCAAACGGTCCAAAGAGTTGAAGATAATCTGAACAGACTGAGATCCAACAGAACCACGATAGAACCGGACTGGAGCCTCACTTAAACAACGCGAGGTCAAACTGGAAGTAAAAGTTGTGTAACTGATGACGTCTCCTCTTTGGCCCGGTGTTATGGATTAACTGGTGGACAAATTAAGTGGCTGAAACCTCTGCGCACCGCAGATGTTTCTAAATTGTAGGTGGCTGCGTCAATGCCTGTTGAAAAATGCTACCCGTGTGACAAAACCGTTTTCAAAATTTTACTAAAATCCCATTTGACGCATATGTGTTTAATGTTACATGTGAAAATTATGTTTCAAAACAAGTTTCTACAGAGCAGCGTTCAGTGCGCTTCGAAAATACCGCTTCTTTTTTTTCAAGTTTATTTGATAGGGACAGACACACATTGACATAGACAAACTGAATAAAACAGCAGTCCCATGTTTGCATCATGGTGCAATAGCAACAGCTAATTCGCAGCACTTGTCCCTAGATGGGCTTTTAAAAAGTAACTCTACAAATTGAAGTGATAATCAGTTAAAATATCACAACATAATATATACAAACAGCGAAATGTAAAACATCAAAAATGGGTGCATGTCTGTTTTTGACATAACCAGAGTTTTGTTTGATTTTTGAACGTTCTAAAACTGGTTACAGACTTTAAATAAACAGGAAGTGAGTTCCAAGTTGTAGATCCTCTCACAGACAGACTTTGAGCAAAGGTGGTTCTTCCAAAGGGAACCTTACAATTTCCATCCAAAGCTGCTCTGGTAGATCTCCTGTTGCCCTGCAGTCTCTGTATACAGTCGCTTAATAGTGTTGGTGCAAGTCCATTTAAACACTTAAAAATCAATTTTAAAACATTATAATTTAGAAAATTTGTAAAATCCAAAATGCCAAATTTAACCAAAATGTGACAGTGGTGGAATCTAATCGCTTTTGATATAAAACCTTTAAGGCTCGATTATACAGACTTGCTAGTGGTTTGAGTTTGACTAGTCTGAGCCCAGACAGGAGCTCCGCAGGTAAAATGTGAGGATCAGTGAATTTAAAAATATCTCTGCACAGTGAAGTGTCAAACAATGTCTAAT